CCTTCTGCCTTTACACTTGCTTATTTTTAAATTTGTTCTTCTCATGCATGTTTTGACATGGGTCTCCTTGCGGTGGTGGGATTCAAATTTTTTTTTACTACTAGTTCTGTGGGCATGGCTTGGTGGGCATGGCATGGCTAGGTGGGCATGGCAGAGGAAGGATACTATAAAATCTCCATTCCCAACCCACTCCAGGGGAAGGGGACTGCAAAATCCCCATTCCCTCCTGATCAGCTGGGACTCGAGAGGCAGAGAATAGATGGGGGCAGGGCCAGCCAGAGGTGGCATTTGCCGGTTCTCCGAACTCCTAAAAATTTCCGCTACCGATTCTCCAGAACTGGTCAGAACCTGCTGAATACCACCTCTGCAGCCAGCGATCAAAGCTAAGAGCTCTCCCGAACCCGCGCAATCACGCAGGAGCCCACCACTGCACCATACGCTAAATAAATAAATAATGATCCCTACGAATGCTTCTTACCCGTGGCACAGGTACACCATCCTGTCCCGATTTGAAAGAAGCCCGGTTGCAAAGGCTCACCACTTTACACAGAGCTCGCCAGGTCTCCGAGGACTGATCAAAAGTTTGCCCTGTAAAGCAAAATGAGAAGCAATGAGCAGATTTTCCGCCCTGTAAGCTTAGGGTGGGCAGCCTGGTGCCCATTGTGACCCACTGCCCCCTCTGCTTGTTTGCTAGGCTTGCAAATACCTGACTGGTCTTCTGTAGTGTCCGCTGTGTGGATTTGGTTGTCGAACCAAAGGTGCGAGACCGTCATTCGATTCTGGGTGAGCGTCCCGGTTTTATCCGAGCAGATGACCGATGTAGAGCCCAGTGTTTCAACAGCTTCCAGATTCTTGACCACACAGTTTTTCCTGGCCAGTCGCTTGGCTGTGAGGGACAGACAGACCTATCCAAGGAGGATGGGAGGGAGGTGGGGTGAGGAGAGGGGATAGGAAACAAGTGAGGTCCAATCTTTGGAACTTGGGATAACTGAAGTCAACTGTGGTTGAGTGCATGAAGCCATTGGTTCAAGATTGACCCTATTCCCAATCTTATGCTTCTAGGTGGCTGGAAGATATGGGAAAAATAGTCCCAAGGGTACTTTCTCAGCAGGCAGCTGGACTTCTTTTGTTTTTTCTTTTGAAAACCTTTCACTTCTCATCCAAGAAGCTTCTTCAGCTCTGACAGGATAGTGGGGAATGGAAGGATTTATATTCCATGCAGACAGCTGGTCATTTGCATCCTTTTAGGGGGTTGTTGAAGCACTTGGAAGTTTATCTGTGTCCTTACAGGGTATGCCTGCAAGGAATGCAAATCCTTCCATTCCCCACTATCCTGTCAGAGCTGAAGAAGCTTCTTGGATGAGAAGTGAAAGTTCTTTAAAAGAAAAAAAAAACAAAGTCCAGTTGCCTCCTGAAAAAGCACCTTTGGGACAACCATGACCTGGATGACTGAGAATCTCTACAGACTTATGGGGAAAGTAGTGCAGAATATCTGAAGGACACCATGTTGGGTAGGATAATTTAGATCGTTCCTGTCTGTTCGGTTGGGTGATAAGTCTTTCAACTGTGGAAGATATTTTGTTAGTTAAGATGCTGCCTGGTGAAGGTGTCTATGGAGATTCTCAGTCATCTCCAGATTGTGGTTGCCCCAAAGGTGCTTTTTTAAAAGGCAACTGGACTTTGCTTTCCCTTGAAGATGTTTTGCTTCTCACCCAAGAAGTCTTTTCACTTCTGATGGAAGGGTGGAGAATGGAAAGATTTATATTTCTTGCTGCCATCTGGCCGTTAGCACTCTTCCTTCAGCAGAGCGGGAGGGCAGTGATGAAATTCAATTTTTTTTTACTACTGGTGCTGTGGGTGTGGCGTGGTGGGCATGGTGTGTCTTGGTGGGCGTGGCTTGGTGGGCATGGCAGGGAAAGGATCAGGGGTGGGTTGTTAATCCCGTTCCAACCGGTTCAGTTGAAACGGGGCCGGCGGCGTCCTCGTGCACGCACGCAGTTCATGCATGTGTCTTAGCGCCTGTGCGATGCTCCAGCTGCTCGCGGAGACTCGCGCAGGTGCTGTATGTTCCATCTAGCTGCTCGCGGAGAATCGCGCAGGTGCTGTA